AAGGGAAGAGGAGAAAAAGAAAGCTTACATTTGAATGTGATTATTTTTGCTAAATAGATTTTAGGATTAAGAAAATAGATTAGTGTCATAATCCAAAACAGAATTTACTAATAACTGATTTTTTGACATTTTAAATTCCAAGTTTATAAAAAATTAATTACATACCTTCTTAATTTCAGTAATGTAAGATATGCAAGTGCTGCGTGTTCAGCACAGGAAATATCACTTGCTCAAGAGAACTAAAATAAGTTGGGTTTAAGTAGTTTTCTTCCTTTTCACCTTGCCTCCTACTACAAACAGAACCTACAAGTGAAGGGAAAACACAGTTTCTAGTAAAATCTATTCTGTAAGCAAAATCTTTAATAGAATGTTAGTGCAATATTATAAAAATCTCTTGAAAATTTAAGATTTCCACAATTCCTAATGAATTATAAACAAAGTTCCAAAAGTTAAGGAGCAGATTTCCAACAACAGAAGAAACAGAAAAGGTTGCATCTCCAGCTCCTTAAAACAGTCCTCCCCTTCACAAATAAAACCTGGAAGGTTAAAACCTGTATAGATATGCCAGAGAACCACACTAAGATGAAAAGATAAGCAGTGGAGGGGTTGATGTTGATCTGATTCTAGTAAGAGCACAAAAAATTCCCTTTTCAGCAAGTTTTTGCAAACATTAAGTGCATGGCTATCTTCTCAGATACTGTCTACTGTCAGAATCCTGACAGTGCAGTTTATTCTTATATTAAAAAACAGTTTATTTCTCCAGGACAGACTCTGCTCCCAGCAGCTATACTGGTATACCTATACAACTATAGTCATATAGTTTGTTTAGTAACCATCTATTCATTTTTTCTTCACCAGAAAAAGGCCACAATTCATTGCTAGAGCAACTTGCCTGGTACCACTGAAGAACTGGCAAATATTAGAGGTGCTAACTACCCCAGAACTCCACCAGCAGATGTGTCTAATTCAGAAGGAATTGTGTTTGAAGATACCCTCATCAATTCTCTTTCTAAGACGTCACAATCTCTTTCTCCAAGATACATATAAAATGTTTAAAAAATGAAAGTTACATACAGATTTTTTTGCTACAGCACAATACAGTGTTGACATATTTTGTCAACATACTTAGAAAACCCTCCCGTAACAGCTACAGTCAAGAGCAGCACAACCTCTGGGAGCCAACAAAGTCAGCCCCTTGAGTCTGATGGTTCTGGCGGTATCCTATCTGCTGCTCAGGACACTGGGAATAAGCAAGAGTCCTTCTGTGGTGGCAGCACTCAGATCGCAAATGTTCTCTGCAACCACAATTACACCATAGCACTGCAAAGCCAAATAAAGACCATGAGAGCAAAAAATTCCCAAATTGCCTCAAAGTTACATTTTTTGTTGAGATACAGAGAATGCAGTTAACCCCCAAAAGAAGTCTGGTGGTGCCCAGGAACAAGAAGTACATCGGGCATGATTCATGTGGGCTGGTAACAGCATGTATTTCTCAACCGAGAGGGGAAACAGGAAGAGGGCAAAGTAATGCTTTAGAAAACACCTGGGCTACAGAACTACTTACGCAGAGCAGTTCAGCTCAGAAAAGCAACAACATTCATTGTTGCTGGATGCAGCAATGCATCCATTTATTGTTGTTACAAACCCAAATTTTAGGCCCAGCTCAAATTCAGGTGATCCAGGGCTTTATATATTCTTGCAGGACAAAGCCCTACAAGTGTAAGTACTAAAAGCATTGTCAAGGAAAAAGAAGAGCAGGAGCCACACCACACAAGGATTTCCAACTACCTTGGGCAAGTGGGAGTTTTAAAACTTTTTACAACATTTTACCAATCTATTAAAAAAACTAGGATAATAATGTCACAGGCAATAAATGTTTTATTAATATCAAATTAATTCATGAAAAATAGGTTTTGTGTGACATGATATGACGCTACAGAGACATATTTGTCCATCAAACACACACAACTCGCATTTAAAATACAAGCTACTATCCTCCCATACACATATAACAAGTAAATCCCAACAGAAATTACTCATAACAGTACTTCAATTGAGAACACAACTATTTGTAATTTCATAGTAAAGACAACCAGATGCCCCAATGTCTCAGACCAGAGACAAGTGTTCTTATGTCAAAGTGTCTGTTTTAGTTTAAGCTCTGCTCTCCATATCCACACCTGAAAAAATCCACAGAAAGTTACAGACTTTAGTAGAAATGCTCTAGATGCCCAGGGCCCCTGACATCTGTATCACACAACAAACTCCCTCCAAACAACCGAAACACCCTGGAGTTTCCTTCTGCTTGTCATAAAGGTGAGGAATCACCTCGCTGATTTCCGTATCAGGTTGTTCCTTACCTGCTAGAAGAGAACAAATAGATTTCTCTAGTAACAAACAAATCCTCAGAAATTCTTAAAACAAGAAGTAAAGCATCTATCTAGATTGACTGAATTTGAGGCCTTCAAATACTTCAGTCAGTGCTTATAAATGAGGTATTGTGCTTCAGTAATCATACCTAGTTGCCTCATTCAAAATCAGACTACCTTGCATATGTCTGCTAAAGGAAGATTTATTTAAAAGCAATACTTCTTTATTATAATTCAAATTAGAGTAATTTCTTCAGACTTGCAGAGGCTACTCTGCACACTAAGTGTTGGATAATCTAGGAAGACCTTTCAACTTCAATACCACATGACATGAGCCAACATTAAATACATCTAAATTATTTAGGCTAATGGATAAAGAGCTTTAAAGAAGAACATTCCAAATCCATGATAACTGAACTCTGACAGTTTTTGCTTTATTTTTCCATTTTATTTATATTCACGCCATCTGGCTGTATTGATCATGCAGTTAAACAATCTTGTGTTTTTTTTCAGATGAAGTAAATTCAAAACTCATTTGTATGATCATTCAGTAACACATATGCTCTTGAGTAATTTGCAGGTGCCAGCTACGAAGTCACTTACTGACTCTTATAGACTGAGCTCCAATTTACAGAAAACACATTCCAGAACAAATATCCAGGAGGCCAAACAGACAACCAAGCCCATGGATCGCTACTCATTTACTGGACTTTATATAATACGCCAAATTTCCACAAGCCTCAAATTTCAAGTGATCTGTTTAGAATTTCTATCAGATTCCACACCCCAAACCACAGATACACACACCAACAGAATGGAGTAAGTGAAATAACTAAAAAAGTTACTTATCCTAAAAGTTCTGTATCATCTGCTCAAAAGGCTAGATTTACAGGAAATAAATTTGGCAATTGACAAAGCACGATAAAGCAACATTAAAAAAGACTGCTAAAAATAAACAGACATTAATTTCCAAGTGCTATGGTAAAACTGTTTAAGTGACAATGATCTTTTTTCCATGTTTTCAGATAAAATTTAATGGACATACACAGATCATACATGCTATTTCCAGCTGTCAGCCTTATCAAAGATTCAATCTCTTCCTAAATACAACCAACAAGCAGCTCTAGACCCAAAGATTTATAAACAATTATCTCTATTTTGTAATTTCACCAGATTATGACCCTTAAAGTCACACATAGTAAAATGAGCTACTGTTTCTACAAGAATAGATGGAGGTGTCAGGAAAAAAAAAGGGGGAGGTGGGGGTTTTAATTTTTAGTCATAGATTTTAATCCACCATTTTGGGTATCAAAATGTGGGGGGTTTTGTTTTTTTTTTAAACAAAACTACAGGAGAACTGATAAAGCAACAAACAAGAGTAATGTGAATCTATAACAGAACTGCAGTAACCAAATGACATGTCTATGTCTATGCATTCTGCAGTCTAGTTTTATGTGTATCCAATTCGTACCATATTCATTATCGTTTATAGCTGGCACACCTATGAATGGCCTCCAGTGTTTGGAATTAGACCAGCCCCTGAAACTCTTCAGGAAGTACTGCTACAGTTCCTACCACTGATTGAGCCACACACGAGTCACCACTATAACTTCATGGGCACTTGTGCAACTCTGTCACTTATAAATACTTCAAAATTACTGTCAGAACATCAAGGTCCCAGCCATTCCCATGTTCTTACTGCTTGTGATCACCTAACATCGGCCACAGCAGGTTTGGGGGGGGTGCGTTTTTTAAAGGTTTGTGGAATGGTTTATAACTACTTCTGTACATGTTCTCTCTAAAGTATCTTCTTCTCTTCAAAACGACCACTGTGGTGCCTTATATCAAAAGTCAAGTTTTAGATACTCATCTTCATCCATCCCCTAAGAGGACAAAGTTGAATAACAGAAAGTAAAATACTAATAGGAACTCTTCACTCTTGCTTTCAACAGATCCCCGTACAGCATTATTAACTCCACAGTCTAGCTTCAACTCTGTAAAAAATTTTGCCCTACAACTAGACCAAAACCAGACCTTCCTCGGGACTTCCACAGATGCACGTCAGCCTGTCCACACCCAACAAATTGCAGGACCTGGGCCTGTCACCGTATCGGCATAAATTAGGACTTGTCAAACAGGTAAGACATAGCAACAGAAGATATTTTATGAGCATAAAGGTAACTGTTTCCACTGTCCCACTCCATATCGAAAGAAAATAATAGTAATAATCACAAGCATGGCATTTTCCCCCCTTTATTTTGGGAGGCTCTCAGTCGCCTTTTCATTCTTTAGGTATCCAAGATAACTTCACACAAGACGGAGACTAACGTGACAGAGAAAGGAGCTTAGAAACGGGACCCTGTCAGGCAGGGACAGCAGCATGTGCCGCGTCAGCCCTTCCCTGCCCCCGCCCGCACCTGCGGCGGCCACGCCAGGGGCACCGCTGCGACCCCACACCGGCCCACCTCCCCGCCCGTTCCTACGCCAAACTCGGCTGGGGAAATAAACAAGTAAAACAAAAGGAACGAGGGGGGAAAAGGGGAGAGGAGCCTGGCCTGGGGCCGCGGCGGCCGGGGAGGGGTCGGCCCGGGCGGCAGCGCCGGTTGCCCGGGCACCATCTTGGGGGTGGCTGGGGGTGAGTGAGGACGCGGCCCCGCAGCGCCGCCGGGGGCCGGCCCGGCGCTTTACCTGCTCTGCCAGCCCTGCAGGAGGTTGGTGTATTTGCTGAGCGTCCCTTCCAGCACCGGCTCCCGCCGCCTGCCGCCGCCGCCGCCGGGCGCCTGCGCGCCCCCCGGGCTGGCCGCCGCCGAGCCGGGGCTGCTGCCGCCTCCGCCGGCCCCCCCGCCTCCATCCAGCCTCCCCGCGGCCGCCGCCCGGCCCGGGAGCCCGCGGCTGGCGGAGGAGGACGAGGGGGACGAGCCCGCCGACGTGGGGCGGCTGCTGCTGCGGCTGCTGCTGTTGCTGCCGCCGCCCTCGCTCGCCGCCGCTTTCTCCATGGAGCCCCGCGGGGGAGGCTGCCCGCCCGCTCCGGCCGCGGCTGCCGCCCGTGCCCGGCAAAGCCCTGACTCACAGGCGGCGCGGAGAGGGGCGGTGCCCGGGGGAGAAGGGGCCGGGCCGCGCCGGGCGAGGGAACCACCGCGCCGCCTCCTCGCCGGGCGGTGCGGGGAGTTAGGCGGCGGTCGGTGCCCCGCGGCTCCGCGGGGTCCCGCCCGCCGCCCCCCCGAGCGCCCCACCCGCCCGGACCGGAGGCAGGGCGCTGCTGCGGAGCCGGGGGCCGCGCAGGGGCGGGGGCCGCAGACGCACACGCGGAGGCACAGGGCGAACGGGGAGAGGCACAGCACACACGCAGACTGCATGGTGCCCGCGGCCGGCACACGCCGTGCGACGCGGAGGGGTGACCCCAAAGGACACGGTGCCCGGGTGTGGGGCGGGCATGCAGACCCACGGCGTGGCAGGCGCAGAGCGCACACCGACACCGCCTCCGGCCCCGGCGGCGGCACCGCGCCCCCCGTGACGCGCCCGCCACATGACAGGCACTCACCCGAGGAGCGGCGGGATGAGCGCTGGGACACCACCGGGGAGCGGGATGCCGGGACCATAAAGCCTGTGACTGACACTCACAAAAGCTGTGCCCACCGGAGCACAAAGCGGAGCGCCCTAGGTGGGGGTTCTTGGTACGGGCGGATGCACATCACTGCCCCTCACCATAGAGCGTGACACCAAGGAGGTGGCTGTCCGTGCTGCAGTACAGCAGTACAGCTGTGCCCGCACACATGAGGTAGGTGGTGCGTCCAGCACTCAGGAACACAATATTCTTGCTCAACCCACAGCAGGTAATGTGTATGAACAGACCATATATCATTCATCCAGACTTTGCAAAACAAACATTATTGTAAAGCCACATTTCCTGAAAACAGAGGATTTAACTCCAAGATCACCATTAAAAAGCTAAGCGGGTCCTTGTACAGTCAGCTTCATACAAAGCTATGGGGTTACATACCCTCAAATCACTTCTATGGCCTCAGTTACATTACAACGTGTATCTTCAGAGCATACCAGAAATGTCAGTATTCTTCTTGACCTTTTACAATTGGAGAATGAAATATAGAGGAGACTCAGAGAGTCTATGAAAAGTATAAACTCAGCTTAGCTCCTGCGCTTTAACCCGGTGGAAAGTTTAGCAGTCCTGTGCACGAGAGACTTTTTGAGTGTAGTATCATGTGTGCCCTGTGTTATGCGCCTCAGAAGATACTCAAACCATCTGAATCCACACACAGATGTCTACATTCCCTATATAAATCAGCATGGAGAGGTGGGATCCTAACTTAGATTCTCCCAGTTTTTTCTCTGGAAAATCCTACCATATGTGTTGTGGTTGGGTAGCTGAAGTGTTGGGCAACCTGATCCTGAATTTTGGGTGGTTAAACTTCTCATGTTATAGCTAAATACTGAGGCACTGCGGTCTGGAAACTTGATTTTAATATTTCATTGGTGGAACATTTAGTGCACATCTCCTGCAGTACAGAGAAAGATTAAGAACTCAGTTAATTTTAAAACCAAAATATTTTAGAGTAAATATTTTCTCAGGTCAGAGCTGTTAAGTGCGATGTTCATGTAAAATTACCCAATTATTGTTACTATGTAAAGAAACCTCCTTACCACAACCTGAAAATCCTCATTCTTAGGCTCAACTCTTCTTCTGATGACCACAGTATTCAGAAGACGTTGGATGAACAAGGCGTGCTCCTTCAGGAAGCTCAGATCCTGCTCGCTCAGGATGAGGAGGAGGTACCTTCATTTGTCCTCATAATGTTACAATGGCAGCCCAAAGCTGTGGAAACAAACTCTTTAATGAGGTAACTGTGTCACCCCACCAGCTACTGCAGCACATTACCTATGTATGTTCTGCATTATAGGTAGTGAATGTAATATTTTCTGCCTTCCACAGAATTTGCTGAAAGATAATTCTGTCAGGAAAAGAAGCCACCGTACACATAAATAGAGATGCCTCTCATACCTTTCTAAACAATAAAGCTCAAGTAACAATGGTGCACTCGTCAGGGAGTTTCTGAAATAAAAGGGATAACAGGCTGTAAGTATATCCCCATGAGAATTTTGCAAAATCATAAAACATGTTTCCTGCTGCTAGAAGGATTGCTGTGATGTGATAACATAGGAAGTCCTCTTAGAAGTTATAAACTAGTTAATAGATGGGAAACAAAACATGTGAATAAATGGTCACTTTTCAAATAGAGGGTAACCACTAAGAGTTGAATCTCTGTTATTCCGTATCTTCTTAAATTAGAGTTAAAACTAGAATCAAATGCAAAAAAATAGCAGAAGGATCTAACAGTAGTGACTAAATCACTGATAAAATGGCAACTGAAATTTAATGTTGCTAGAAACCAAAGTAAAGTACATGTGGAGAAAATAGTTTTTACTATGCATGCATGATGATCTATAAATTAGCTATAGCCTCTCAGGCAAGAGATCTTGTAGACATTTTAAATAGTCCTCTGAAAACCCCATCTCAGTGTTCAAGGGTAATCAAACAAACAGCTGTGATGAGCTCGTTAGGAAAGACAGAAATAACAGCTTGCTGCTATGTAAATCCATAGTACAGCCAGTATCTATATACTCTGCATTTATAATATTCCTTCAAAAAGGACAGAGTAAAAAGAGAAACGGTGTAAATGCCAGCTTTTTTATGAGAGAGCTCACTGAGCAGGGTTTTCATTTGAAAAAGAGACAACCAGTGTACAAAATGATATTCAGATTAATAGGAGTGATTCTTCACAGTTTCTCATGAAACAAGAACTATGGGGGAACTGGTTTAAAACAAGAACAAGAAACTACTTTCTCACATGGTTTATACTCATAAAGCTCATTGTTATGAGATGGTTTTGGATACCAAACGTCTAGAAAGATTAAAAAAGCAATTGTTTTTGAAGAACCTTTAAACAAGGTTGACCAAAGTGTTTTGGATGTATTTGAAGTTCAGAAAGGCTCTAAATTTCTGACTCCTTTAAGACTATTTACTTTATAGTAAATAGGTGAAATAATCCCTGCCTTGTTCTTTCTCTAGATCTTTATCTAAACACATACTCATGGAAGGAATAAAATACTGGACTAGAGAGACCTTTAGTTTAATCTATGGTATAGCTTTTCATATAAATATGAATATATAAATATATAAATATATAAATATGAAGGAATACTAAGGATTCCTTCTTCTTGGTTAACCAAAGGTCCTTTCAAAGCAAACATTTGCACTGTATGCAGCTTTTATATGGTATAGATGGCATCATATCATATAGAATGTGTCATTCTTCTCATCCCTTTTCCCTTCCCAGTTTGTACATATCATTGCAACCTAACAGAGCTGGACAACCTTTCATAGCAATTTTGATATCAGTGCGCCCCTAACCCCATTTATTTGAAGTTATTAATGTTCTTCAAAATGACTGAACCTGTATTTATTTTACTAGCTAATTGTCTGTCCCAGTAGAGTTAGATTTCAGGGCAATATACACTGACTTGGTCTGATGCAATATTGCATGATGTATGCTTTGTCACAAGTATTCCTAATTAGCTATTTATTAATGCAACCTTCCTAATGAAGGTTCACACTGTTTCCAAGGTAACACAGCTGCTATGTTACAGTCCTTTAGAATGTTACTTTCTCTCTATGACCAAACCAAAATTTTGCTTCTTTCATTAAGAACCCAAAGGAATCAAAATAGCTCATTAATTATCCCACCTTTTAGAAAGCTAAATATCTGGTAAGATAACAAATCCAGTACTGTTTGTCTTTGTCAGGAAGCAGAGGCATTTCTCCATCCTATGCGAAGCTACACAACTTTAGCTTCTAGAACAAGGTCAGCTCTCAATCCATTTGCTAATTTGTGTTTCCTGGACATCTTGGGTTGGGTTTCTCTACCTTTGTAACACCCTCCTAGCAAACAGTTTTCCTGAAGGACTTTGCAATTTCTTTTTACCTCCTCCCACCATCAGATTTCCTCTCAACTTCTCACCATCATAATCCTGTGGAGGAATTTAGCTGTATGGTCTACAGAAACTACTTCTGCCCAGGCTACAGTCAGACAGTGAAAAATTACATGGAAGTACCCCAAGGCTTGCTCAGTTTTACCATCTCCTCCTTCTTGCCCTCCTCCTGAGACACAGCTTTATTTCTCATGGGCTTTGGAGACTCAATCCATCTGTAACTAAACTTAAGGCAATACTTAGGGCAAAAGCATACCACTATGCACTTTGGTCACCACTGTCTATAGATGACAGCACTGGAATGATTCTTAAATTATCCCTAAAGTTCAGCTCATGTCACAGTGATGCCACCTGCACCAAACCTGCTCTTAATAATGCTTCCCCAATGGTCTACAGCAACTGGCAGAGAACGAATGCAGCAGGTGGAACAATGTGCAGCAGCAGCAGGTCCTCCATTACTTCCTTAGATCCAGTGCTGTAGATTCCTGAACTTGAAAGGTTAAAAGAGGCAGTGACTCCTCTAATCTGGCCTTTTTAATAACTCAGTACAAGAATTGTAACGTTCTGTCTTATATGATTGTTTCACTTAGATTTAACCAGCACATCATCCACGAGTAACACACTTCTGACCTTAGAATTTCGAGAACATAGAGAAACTGCCACTAACTCTGCAGTCTGCCAACTTCAGGATTAGCTTTGCTGAACCAGTATGCATTGTATCCTCCCTCCATGGTGCCTGTAAGCCTGCAATGTATGATAAACATACTGCATTGCCACACTTCATCCTGTTGTCAGCAGCTTCTCATCCACCAACCATCCTCCTAAACCTCACTTAACTCAAAGTTAGTGACAGGGAAAGCCAAGAAAGACATGGCATATGGAAAACGTACCCAAACTACCTTTACTGCCAGAAACAACGGTGACCAGGAAACACATACTTGCATACAGGTAATTTATTCTATCACACGGCATTGCAAAGTCATGTGGACTGAGGTTTGTGCTGCCACAGCTAGACCGTCATAGCTTATTAACTCAGCTACAGTACACTGCTCAGTAATTTGGAGGTTAGACCAGTTGAAACAAAACTTGATCAAAATGTCTGAACCTCTAGAATACAAACTTCAGGATGGTTAGCTGGAGAAAATACTAGTTTATATTATGGATATTATATATATATATTTGCATTGGATGTCATTAAATGTGCATGAGGAAGCGATGTGTATGACAAACATGATGAAAGGTATTTTCTGCATAGCTAGAATTAACCCTTTGAACTGCAACTGGAAACAAATAGGAAGCTAGTGCATAAACTGAGTGAGCATAAGGAGCTAAAAGAGCACAAATATCACTGATGCTATGTATTGTGTATTTTAGCTAGTGGTAACTGCTGTATTCTGTGCCAGTGATTCTTTGAACAGTTTTTATAGGTACTCACAAATACAGTTCTTTAAAATAAATTCATTCATACACTGAGGCCAGAAGAAAACACGAGGTTATCTAGCATAACCAGCTGGATAACAGAAACCATTTTTGGTTTGATGTGGAATTACAGATAAATGTCAATATACCAAATCTTAACAATGTGCAGCATTTTTACCATTCATTTTTCTATCTCAGTAGTTAAACATTTAGGGATTTGAAAAGTATACTAGCCCAGCAAAGGTCAAATTCAGATTCAAGACCAGACTGGGTTTACTCAATGCCTCTCTCATAACTTACACCAGTGCTTAAGCTCTCTTTTATCCCCCTTTTTTGAAGGGCTGAATGGTTCCAGTGGAATCTGTCAGATTTCAGCATTTATTATTCATAAGGCATGAGGCTGTATATCACTGTAATAATACCCAGCTTGGTGTCCATCCACTTTGTAAATGAAACATCTGTGCACCTGTAATCTTATGCCTAATCTACAAAACCATTTGCACATCCAAAAAGTATTGCTATAGAGCAGTTATACTGCACAGTGTATATTTATTGATAAAATAATGCTAGTTTATGCCGCTTGGGCTCTGACCTCACACTCCACCAACAGCAATTTGTATAGTTGTTTCATAAGAGCATGAAGTATCTTACAGCTTAAGAACCGGTCTCTTTCAAACTGGACCTGTCACTCAGTTCTAAATGTTAGCTCCCACCAATAAAAACTAATAAGCCTGTAAAAGGGAGTAAAAGGCAGGAAAGCTTGGGGGTTTTTTACAGTTCAAGGGTTTATAGTCTTGCGGGTCATACTTTAATTAACTCTAGAATGTGTGGTGTGTGTAATCATCCCAAGCTAGGGATGGCATTTTTTTTGCCAGGGTTCACAGAGTGATTTTAAATTTGGCTGATAACGAACAAATTATAATAGCTTGTGAAAAACACGTGAACCAAAATTTTCTTACTTATTACATTAAATAAAATTAGTTCAAGAAAAAAACAAAACAAAACAAAAAATAAAAAAATTGTGCTGTATATTGCCCAACTCATGCAAATGGTGGGCTAATACTTTTGTGTAGGTTTAATACTGATGTAACTGGAATCTTTACATTCAGCAAGACCCCACAGCACAGAATTGACTGTTATCTTCACTGATTCTGAAGAACAGTATAAACTGTGGTTTATAAAAGCCTGACAACATCATTTATCTAATCCTCTTCTGGTTGCTGGACAGAAAACGACAGCCATATTTTTTCTCCCTCTTCTCCAGTGAATTTGCTTGTAATACTTGCTCTCTCATATCACACACAGCCTTGACAGGAGTATCCAGTGGAGATAACCTCAAATATGCAAAGACCTGAATTATGATTCCGTCCCTCTGGTTTCTAAAACTCAGCTGTCAGCTTTGATCTTTGACTTTTGAGAGCCTCTTCTGCAAAACAGAATGTACATTCATATATAGCTTGATGGAATAGTATTTGCCATGATTTCAAAGGCAGAAACAAATGCTAATTTTTTAGAATAAGCATAGTACAAGTTCAGGAAGCTGACAGTTTTCAGTTTAACTTTTCCTGACCTTGTTTTTTCCATAGAGAATGCCTGGAACAGGCACTCCTTAGCTGCAGTTTCACAAATTCAGACATTCTAAACTCTGAGCTCTGTCAGCTTCAATCA